TCTGGTCCCTGCTCAATTGACATGGAGAAGATTACTCTGACGACAAGGTCTGAGTAGATGTCATACTAGCCAACCTTGAAGGGGAGATGGCAGAGTGGGTGACAATTCTCCATGACGAAGGCACCCCTGAGCTAGCAGACCAAGACACGTTTTTCTGTGGCCTCAGAGACCAATTCAGGGACCTTGCACAGACCCAACGGGAAGAGGTAGAGGTTCGGAACATCAAGCAGAGGAGTAAAACGGTGACTGAATACATTAGAGACTTCAGGAGGATCTCAAGAAGGCTGAGGCACTGGCCAGAGCAGCTCTTGACCCAATATTTCTGAGAGGGGCTGAGCTGCGACCTATTTCACATGTGACTAGCCCAAGGGATCCTAAATCGGCTTAGTGATTGGTACCAGCTAGTCACCACTGTAGAGTTAGATCTGTGGGAGCTTCAGACCACGATCAAAGTAGAGCCAACATAGGTGTTGGGGAGAAAATAGCCAGCAGCAGCATTTCTGGTTCCTGCAGGGCTGTCTGACTGCACTCCCCTCATGTGCTTTTGCTGTGGCCAAGAGGTACACCAGGCAGCAATATGCCAGGCACCAACCCCTCATATGGTTTCCACGGCACTGGCCCCCTCAAAGCCAAAGAAGCTGCCAAAGAAGGGGAAGGAGTAGTCATGACCAGCAACCAAGGTTGTTGAGGTCTCCCCTCCAGAGCGTGAAGGGGATGGAACTCCGACCGAATAGGAGCCACTGATGACCCTTTACAACAGTAAGAGTAAGGGAGAAGACAACCCAATGGTGAGGGGACATATCAATTACCTTGAAGTTAGGACAGACATCAAGGCATCCTGCTCAGAGGCGAGGGGGATGGTTATGGCCCTCATAGACTTTGGCTGCTCCCGTTACCTAATTAGTCAAGCCACAGTGCAGAGGCTAGGACTACATGTGAGGAAACTCAAGACACCTATGAAGTTTGAACAGATTGATGGCACACTGATAGGAAGCAAGGCCGCTTCCCATCTGATGGAGCCAGTGCAGCTAGATTTGGGAGACCACCAAGAAACTATTTGTTTTATGGTTGCCCCAAAGATGGCAGAGGACATGATCCTGGGCCTGGCTGGGGCCCCAAATCTATTGGAAGAAAGCCTCAAAGTGTATGGTTATGAGGAAGCAGGCCTTGAGCCCCCGTGACAACTAAACCCCGTTTGGTTGGTCTTTTCAGCCAGAATATGACACAAATAATATATCAGGTAAATGTGATAGAGAAGTTTTGATCCTTTTCTTTTTGACACAAGGCTCCCCTTCTCTAATACTATTGAAAGACCAAAACTACAAAGCTAGCACAATTGCTATTAAAACAATTGCCCTGTTTATAGAATAACAGCTTTAAAGACAATTAAAAATGGCAATCATCACTTTGCAAAAGTAATGCTTGTTAATTCTTATTTATTTAAACAATTTATATGGCCACATTCAGTGACTCTAGGCAACTTACAAAAAATAAAAACCCAATATACAAAGAGTAAAAACAATACTTCTCATTCCCCTGGCAACAAGAAGCAGTAAAACAAACCACTTAATGGAATCCATCCCCATCTGGACTCCCAAGTCCATTGGCAAAATCAGATCTTCAGGGCCTTGTGAAAGAGTGTCAAAGTGCAGGCCAGTCTAATTTCCATAACGATGATGCTCCAAAAGGAGGGAGCCACCATGGAGAAGGTCCCTTTTCTGGATTTTGTCAGATGTACATCCTTAGTAGAGGGGATATGCAATATTCCTTGCCTCCACTCTGGTGGGTAGGGTGGATATACTTGGGAAGAAATTGTCCTTCAGATAACCTTGTCTCAAGCCATGTAGGACATTAAAATTACATCTAGCACCTTAAATTGTACCCGAAAGCAAATCAACAGCCTATGCAGCTCCCGCAGGAAAGGTGACATATATTGCACATGTGGGTCTGCACAAAACCATGCAGGCTGCTGCAGTTTGAGCCCATGGGAATTTCTGGATGCTATTCAAAGCATTCCCAGGCAAAGTCCATTGCAATAGTCAACACAGAAGGTGACTAGGCATAAATGATTATGAGCAGAGATTGTTGGTGCACAATTTGCAGTTGCACAAAGGTCTTCATGGCCATGATTGTCACCTGCTCCTTGAGCCAGAGTCCATGAGTCCATGAGAATCCCCAGATAATACGCACTGGGTCTATATGGGGCAGTGCTACCCATCCAAGACCAGAGATGGAAATTCTCCATGGACCAAAGAATTCCAAACAAAGAGCCATTTGGTCTTACCAGGATTCAGTTCCTGCCTGTTGCTTCCCATTAACAGTCTCCAAGTCCTGTGAAAGGAACTCACAGCATCACCTAAGTCACCATGGGCCAAGGCACATAGCTGGGCATCATCAACATATTGCTGATATCTCTGTCCATGATGGCAGATGATCTTACCCAATGGCTTCATGTAGATGTTAAACAAAACTGGAGAGTATTGAGCCCTGTGGGACCCCACAAAGCAAGGGACAAGGACTGGACCTCTTGCTTCCTATCAACACCTACTGAGAACAGCTACAGAGGAAGGAAGTAAACAGAACAATGCAGACACCCCCCCCTCCCCTTTGCACCTTGCTGCCTGCTGAAATTGGGCAGGCTGGGGGCTAAGTGATGGCACGCTTCTTTTTGGATTCGCGCCGCCTGACTCAGCCTCTCGGCACTGTGAGGACAGCGCCCCACTGCCTGCTGAAATGCTTCCCCGGAGCCCATGAAGCTGGATATGTGAAGTAGGCGAGGGCCATTTTCTGGCCACTTCCAGGCGATGGTGCATTTCTTCATTCCTCACAAAGGGTGACACCTCCCCAGCGCATACCCAGGAGGTGGGGCCAACACGGCAGGGGCCGATCCCTTGCTGTTTCCAGACAGCCTTGTGGAGCTAAGACTGAATGTGTTTCAGCATAGATGGCCATCACAAAAATTGTGCATTGGCTCCTGGGCGGCCTGGGCTGGGGCCAAGGCAGCAAGGACCATTCCCTCACTGTTTCCAGGATGGCTTCGTGTGGGCCACATGAAACCATGTCACGGGCTGCATCTGGCCCCCGGGCCTTGTGTTTGACATGTCTGAGATACAGTTTTCTTAAAACAAAAACAAAAGACCAGGAAAACATCCATGAATGACAAAGTCAGAGGATAATAAACCTTTTGACCCAATTTCTCACATATCTTATTACACGTGGAGGCCAAAATAGTCATGATGGAAATATGAAATCAAATTTAATCAGTAATCTGGAAATAACAACAATCAGAAACTATAATTTTCAAGTTAGGAAACTCAAGTTCCAAAGACAATATTCAGAAGTCTCACTGAGAAAAAAATTGAAATTTAAAAAGCAAAAAATGATAAATTTTGAAAGTTTATGCTGTAAGCTTCATTTCTGAGCACTGACTAGTGACTCAAAAAAAGCAAAACAAGGCAGCCAATATGAAAACGATGAATTGTTATTTATAACTTATGAATTGTTATTTATAACTCATAAGTTATGTTTTATAAGCTTTAATAGTTTTTTTCTATAGGAACAAGAGAGATATATTCAGGATTTTTTGTTTGGGAAGGGGAAGTCCCAATCATTTAGTTTTGGTGGGGAGGATAAAACGATGTCACATGCTTCATGATGTTATTGGACAATAATATCACATGTCATGATATCATATGTGGCATATTTTGTTCCTGTGTCCCTCTCCCCATGCCCCAACTTCCAAACATGGACATATCTGCAAAAATATTGGGTGCTTTCTGGTATTCAAATCAGCAAATGAGCTCTTAATAATATCAACAAAAAGCCATTATATAAGAAAAAATACTCTACAGAATAATATCTAAGGTGCTTTTTGATACCAAACCACAACGTTTCTATTTGCCTAAATGCAGGCTTGATGAGAATCAATGAACTGAGGCTAAATTTCAACAAGATGGAAGTATTGTGAATATGTAATTCCTGTGTGAATTAAGCAGTTGCCCTGTTTTGAAGGATTAAGGTTAGAATGTACAGTAATGTACAAGTGTTCCTAAGCCTTAACTTTCAATGGAGGTAAAATGTTATCTAGCAAGGTGTTCTTTTTCTCTTGTTCCTGGATTTTAGCAAAAAAAAACCAAAAACCTTTACTGGCAATCTTAAGAATAGATTATAGCTATTAGAGTGAAGTACCTTCTCTATTCAGTTATGGTTGGTGTTATCCTTGGGAGGAACTTGCTTAAGACATTCCATTCACCTGGAATTTTGAGCAAATCATTGCTGAGACACCTTCCATTCTTTTTCCTTCTGAACTATTACGTTCATACCTAGATTGTTTTTTATTGTTCTGTGCTCTGGGGATTGCTTTTTTACAATGAATATATGGATGAAAAATTGTGAAAAAAAGACATATTACTCCCTACCTGTCAGTTTCTGTTACATTTATTTGGAGCTTTTGGGTAATGTAATGGGTTACATTAATGTTTTATAATTTCATGTAAAAATGTAGTTTATACAAAAACATTTGACTCACTTTTGTCCCTGCAGTGCCTCAGCTGCATATTAAAGAAAGGGTTTTTAAAAACCGCACAAATATAGGGAACACAGAGAATAGTTTAACCATTTTTAAAAAACACTTTCTCTGTTTTCTTGCCACTTAATTCTAGAGCTGTCCCCGAACAGCTGCAATGAACTTCTACTCCCATAATTGCTACGGCTGGGACTGATAGAACTCCAATCCTGCTTGAGGTGGGAGGTTTGCATTCCACCGACACAAATTTCGTAGCAAGGACTTTTGTTAACCAAGGAGAAATCCAGCATCGCAAAGTAGTTTCATATCTCTGGAGAAAACGACGCCTAACACGGAAGAGGGAGGAGCCGCGGCAGGTCACCGTCTGGAGAACGTCTGGTTTGATTGGGGGATTTGCTGCCAATCGAAAACGGCGATTGGTGGCTTTGGATGTCACTCTTTTTCCCGCCTCCTTCCGTGCTCCGCCACAGCCAGTGGAGCCAAGCGAAGCGAGCGGAGAAGGTGGTGGCGTCTTACTAGAGGTCGCGGAACGGAGGCGGGCAAGCAGCATGGCAGCAGCGTTAATTCTCCGAGCCTCCGTTAGTTTGCTGCACAGGCATGGGAAAGTCTGTGCAGACTGGCTCGCTCGGGGTAAGGCAATTTGAGCTCGCGCCACTGGGCGCGAAGGCGTATATTGGCTCGCGGCGTCTTGTAGGAGAATCCAAAAGGTGTTCGGCCCTCCAGGAGGACAAACATGTTGCAGCTGTTAACCCTTTTTCTTGTCACCTCGCAGAAGTTGGGGTTCCCATCCCGTGGCCAAACTTACTAGCCCTTCAGTGTGTAGATACCGGCCAGGGCAGGAATTGGATTGCTGTAAGAAAAGGGGCATGTCAGGAAATAGAGGATAAGGGGAATATGCTTTTCCAAATCTGACTGCTTTTAAATCTTCATTATAAGTATGCCTTGGCACGCGCGGTGATGTTGAGTAATGCCTTTAGAGAAGTCGGGTTTTGTACTCTTAAGTCTTTACATATCTAAGCCACGCCAGTTGTAAAATTTATACAGGAATTATATCTGACCTTTTGGGTGCTAAGTGGCTGTTGGTCTAAAGCAACATATGCAAGGCACAAAACTTTATGTAACATCTGTATCCTAAAGTATCCTTAAAATTAGCTTACGGCTTACGTTCATATTTGCTTTTCCCCATAATACCTTTTTCCTTTTCCAAGAAGAAAAGGCGATTTTGGTTAATTGATGTGAGTCGAGATATTTTGCCTATGTATAAAACATTGTTATGGGTTGAACTATACATGCTAATTGTTTAGAATAAAGTATCAAGTTTATGGATTTTTGCAACATAAATGATTTTGAAGTAAAATCTTACATATATTCACAAAATAGTCCTTACAAAGTTTAATGGATCTTGCTCCCAGATGGTGAATTTAAAAGCAATGCCCTGGAGCATAGTTCTATATTTGTTTTCTCAAAATTTGTGTATGTCTCTGTGTTAAATAGAATATATTTCTACAGTCTATTATAAGACTACAGTCTTATAATAGAATCCTATGCTTGTCAATTCAAAATCCCATTGAGGGATATTCTTAAAGGGAGATAAAGACTTAAGCTTTTGTCTTTCATCATTAAAGGGAGAATTGTAATTCAATGTTCTATTTATGGCTGTCTTAATTGAGTGACTATTGTAGTAGCAGTATAAAATATTAGACAATACTGTCCATTCCTACATATCTATCTTTATTCTTGCTGGACAATATAGTAACCAAACATTTTTTGTTATGGAGAGAGTTTATATACTTTATATATTTTAAATTCTTAACTCTACCATTGTAAATTAACCTGTTTAATAGCAGGGCATGCTATTTTTCAAAAGCCAATGATTGTTAGGACTGTAGTGCAAATTTTTTAAGCCTTTTAAAAATAAAACAATTAGCTTTATTTGCTTACAATAAAGTAAATTTGTTTTCCATAAAAAAAATTTAGAATGAAAAATATGACTTTCATTCAAATGTCATCTAGGACAGTGGTTCTTAACCTGGGCGGTACCGCCCCCCAGGGGGCGATTTCATTTTTCAGGGGGGCGATGGAATGAAAAGGGGCGGCGTGGGGGCGATGGAACGAAAAGGGGGCGATAGGGGGCGATGGAGCAAGATGTTTTGGGGACACTTTTGAGCCTTCCCCTGCAGCTCCGAGCGTCCTCCGCCATTTGTAGAGAGAGACAGAGAGAGGCACTTGTGCTTCTCTCTCTCTTTCTCTCTCATGCAAATTTGCCCCCTCGCAGGGCTCCTGATTGGCCCTGTGCCCAGGCGCCCCGCCCTCTGGGAGAAGCGCAGCCAGGAAGTCCCTTTCCCTGGCTGGCCCCATCCGAGGTACACGTGGTCGGGGAACCAAACGGGGAAGCCTGGAATCCCCGCTGGGAGCAGCCAGCCAGAGCCTCTGCTGAGCAAGCCAGCCTTCCCGCAAGCCACGGCCCTGAGAGAGAGCAGCCCCTGCGATCTCCAGCCGCGGGACCATTGGCCCAGCTGGCTGGGAAGGCGCGCCGGAGTCCCGGCTGCTTTGTCAGCGAAGATTGTGAGGTGAGAAGAAGATGGGGGGGGAGAAAGGGAGGGAGAGGAAAGAGAGAGGAAGAGGGGAAAGAGAAAAAGAGAGAGAGAAAGAGAGAGGAAAGAGAGAGAGAGAGGAAGCGCAAGTGCCTCTCTCTCCCTCTCTTTCTCTCTCCTCACCTGGAGAAAGAAGGGGGGAGGAAGGCAGAGGAAAGAGAAAAAGAGAGAGAGAAAGAGAGAGGAAAGAGGAAGCACAAATGCCTCTCTCTCCCCCTCTCTTTCTCTCTCCTCACCTGGAGAAAGAAGGGGGGAGGGAGGGAGAGGAAAGAGAGGGAGAGGGGAAAGAGAAAAAGAGAAAGAGAGGAAAGAGAGAGAGAGGAAGTGCAAGTGCCTCTCTCTCCCCCTCTCTTTCTCTCTCCTCACCTGGAGAAAGAAGGGGGGAGGGAGGGAGAGGAAAGAGAGGGAGAGGGGAAAGAGAGAAAGAGAGGAAAGAGAGAGAGAGAGGAAGTGCAAGTGCCTCTCTCTCCCCCCCTCTCTCTCTCCTC